AAACCTCACTTCGAAGCGACTAGAATCGGCTGGAAGAGACCAGGTAGTACGGCTATCCGACCAGTCAAGATCACCGTCCCAAGCTCCACAGCAGTTCATCAGATTCTGATGAAAACAGGGAGACTGAGGCTAGTTGAGTCGCACAAAGATGTATGGATATGTCCAGACAGATCCTGCGAAGAACGAGCAACAAGGAAGCATCTGGTAACTGACCTGAAGAAGAAGAGGGCTGAACAGACTCATCTCGACCACTATATCCGGTACGGGAAGGTATGTAGCCGTGATAAAAAGCCATCATGAGTTATTTATGTCTCTCGGACACTGATCAGTATATGTAGGAGTGATGAGAATTTTATGAGTTTTCGGATGTTATCTGTATTTGAGAGACAATTATATAATTTAAATACTTTATTATTTGATTGTTTCACACTTTTCACATTTCATAATCTTATTACTAGGTGGAGGTGATGTTATTGAGACTTTGGGCGGCCAAAAACTCCTGTTTTAAAATTTGTTCTCTGTACTTGTTTCACTGACCCACGCTTTATAGCATTTATACATTTCGGCCCAATTTATATGTTTGTTCGATTTGCTGTACATTTGTATATTTGCTATTTTGTAAAAGTTTCAAATCAAAAAATCATCTGGTGTTATAACTTTGCCCTTCGTGTTGACATAGAGAAGATTAATGATATCTACAATACTGTCCGGTATTCCATAGGCCTTTAGTATTTGCATCAAAATTCCCCGGTGAAGTGAATCAAAGGCCTTCTTAAAATCAACAAACACCATAGCTGCCGGTAAATTTCTCTGTCTAGCCCCCTCTAGAATCCTTCTGAGTGCCAAGATATGACTTGTAGTGGACCGTCCTTCCCGAAAACCATTCTGAGTGTCCCTAAGTACCTCCTCTATAGCCGGCTGGATCCTATTAAGCACCATTCTATTAAGAGTCTTAGCTACAAGTGAAGTCAAAGATATCCCCCTCCAGTTTCCAGGGTTGGTCAAGACTCCCTTTTTGGGGACCGGGATGATGTTGCTTATCCTCCACTGATCTGGCGCAATACCATCTGTCAGGGCTTTGTTGCAGAAGGACAGCACGATTTCATCCAGGTCGCATCTTTTGAGGACTTCAGGTGGTATGCCGTCATCACCTGGTGCTTTACCTTCTTTTATCCTGTGTTTAGCAGCTTTAAGCTCCTCCAGTGTAAAAGGTTCTGTACTGATGTTGAGTCCTTCAAATTGAGTCTCGATCCTAGGATGCTCGTTTTCCACATCCGGTGTACTCCCGAACAGATTCGTGAAATGCCTAAGCCAATTTTCCTTCCTTTCTTCGGCTCCGTTGCCCCTTATTTGAGTTGCCCCCTTGGCCTTCCTGCCAGTTATCTCATTTATGACATTCCAACTTTCTTTGTTTTTGCATCTGTCTGCAGCCATTTCGACCCTTCTAACCTTGGCAACTAGATCTTCTTCAAAGATGTCCTGGTACACCTGATCCAGTTCAGTTTTTAGTAGCTTAACAGACAGTCGACTGTCTTCACTAGGATCCCGGTGATAAACAGTCTCACTCTCAGCTTGCTGCAAGGCTGTACGCACGTTTTGAACTCGCTGATCACCCGCGAAATCGTCACGTCTCTTCTTTTCTCTCTTAGGCAGTATGGCTTTGTTGGTATCAGCAATCGCATCAACAAAATGCCCATACAGTTCCGTAACCTCACTTTCATCGGTTTGCTCGCATAGAGCGGAGTACCGATTCTTAACTTCTACTGCGTATCTCTTCTGTAGGTCTTCATCCGATTTTAGTGCTCCCCAATTATACCAGGTTTTCTTGGGTTGCTTTTTTGCTCGTCGAAGAGATAGCTTGATCTTAGACAAAACAAGTCTATGATCAGTACCCAGTGTACTAAAGAAGCTGTAGACTTCAGTATTTTTGACACTGTTCCTCCATTTCTTCCTCACTAGAATAAAGTCTAACTGAGACTTATTCAGGGTTCCATCCGATAGGTGAGTCCACATCTTACCCCGCTTCTTTCTGAACCTGGTGTTTGTAATCTCCAGATTACATTCCAGGGCAGTCTCCCGAAGCAGCTCCCCATTTCTGTTGGTTCTCTCATGGAAATACCAACCAAAGTCATTCTCGTCCCTCTTTGATAGGTGAGCGTTAAAATCCCCAATCACCTCCAAGAAGTTGTGAGCAGGGATCTGTGAGACTGCACACCTTAGATCGGTATGAAACTTCTCTGCTGCTTCTACACTATCTGCCTCCGTAGGTCCGTAGACACAGACGAAGGTTGGTGTAGGATTACCATTTAGAGATATCTTAAGGATTCTCTCCGTCACTGGTGTTATCTCCGTAGTTGCGTCAAATGCCTTGCTAGTTAGGATGAATCCCACTCCGCCCACTGCTGCCTAGGCCCGATTCCTAGTAGCTGATGAAGTAATTAGATAGCTGCTCTTGCCAACTCTCTCTACTTTGACAGGCTCTTCATGGACTATCCTGTGCTCTTGGATACCTACAATCTCTGCTCCACTCTTCTCGAAAAGATGTACCATCTCCAGTTTCCTCTGGGCAGTTCTTATCGTTCTAGTGTTAAGAGTGCCTACCCAGGTAATGTCGGTACATGAAAATAAACTTTTTTTGTTGTTTTCGTTTATGCTGTTGAGTGTTTCAGGTTGATTAGGCTCATCATTCACCAACCTTCCATTCGGATTTAAGTTGGTGAAATCATTACCACCTTCACGTCCAGAAACAAAAGTAGGGGCTGATACCCTAGTGCTGTAAGAACTATTCATCATGTTTCTTTTCTGTTAGTGTTGGCTATGTGACACGTGAGCCACCTGCGCCACTGGAATGGCTCTCTTGATAGCTACTTCATCAGTAGATGTTCCCACAAACAGTAAATAAAGCGGAAAGATGACAGATGGTGCTCCCATAGTTCCGGAATCTGTTACATCTTAATTAACCCAAATCACCATCATCACGAGCTTGTTCTGAGGATGCCCGGCTTTTTTTCGGGGTTGCACCCCTAGATCCGCTGTGTTCAGTTACAACTCCATCGCTGGAGTTGCATGCAGCCCCACCTCGAGCAGGATGTGGCTCTTCACCACGCACAGACGGTCTGAATGTACAGAGTTGAATCTGCAGCATCCTAGGTCAACCCATAATAGAGCAAAACCTTTGGGGCCATTGATGGACTACGAGTATATATTATATAGTATGATAGGTAAGGAAAATTTAGATTTTGAATTTAAACCTGTTACATGTTTAGTTGCAGTGATTGATGGAGACGAGATTTAAAAAGATTCTTCTGAATCAGAATTTTTGCTCTATAAGATTTGAAGTATAACATACTTTGAAATGAAATGGCGACTGGTTGACATATTAATATTATGTCATTGGTTAATTAATAAGACAATTAATGGAGATGACCGCTCTCCAGGATCATCAGCCAGATCAGATCCGCGGCAGTGGGACCTCTAGTTCTTTTAGACCCTGTCACACGACATGATCTAGCAGAGCTACGAGGCTGGCACGAAGAGCAAGTAATTTTTCTATCTTGCTCCCCCCACTGTGGCATAAGGCCGACTAAAATAAAATGACTTAGACATCTATATTGTGGTTGCTTAAGTCTTAAAGGTTTCTAAAATCCGATTTGTAGTTGTAAAATCGGTATTGTAGTAGTAAAATCCGGTATGTGGTTGTAAAAGCACATTTGTAGTGGTTTCAGGTTCCGTTTTTCATTTCAGTCCATTTCCATGATCTTTAGTCCTTATCTTTTATTCCTCGTTATCTTCCTTACCATCGAGTGGCAGGAGTTAGATTCATGAAAGGAATAAAGTTGTTCCCTCCATGACTGAACACGTCGTCAAAGTTTGTCCAGGGTCCACGACGCCATGACGGTTCTGATCGTCGGAGACGTTCAATAGAGTTCTCATGAACACCTTCAATTTATCCAAGGATGCAGCAAGCCCATCACCGAGTGATGTCGATTTACTGTCGAATGCATACGCTGCTCGTCGACTGTAAGATTTATTCCTAAACATGTTCTTTACTTTAGCCCGAACACTTTTCTTTCGCTTCCCGTTAGGAAGTAAGTTGAAGGGCTGTTTAACTTTGGTCTCTTCGGTGTAATTGAAGGAATCACTCCAATCGTTCTCATCCGGCTCATCCTCGATACTCCCAGGAAGAATAAATGAAGTTAAACCTTCAACCTCGTTTATTTCTTCGATCCAAAACACACCTCGACCGTTGTCAGCGATCTTGTGTGTGTCAAAATTGACGGGCAGGTTATCAACTTCATCGGAACAAGAGTCCAGCGATGAAGCTCTTCTCATGAAATCAGGTTCTATCCTGATTTCCTCCACTCGGGTTATCTCGTATCGAGATCGTCTGTCTAACAATGAAAGAATCATCTTTAGATAGGTAGATTTTTTAGATCAAGAGAACAATTTCTGGAACTTTTTCTAGATTGACAATGCACAAGGCAATCATGCACGTGCAACTGCATCTTTATAAAGGAGCACTAGGTGCATGGTCGGCCACTTAACATGTGTGGTAGCTGATATCATAGGCGATTTAACTGGTAAATTAAATCATTTAAAAACATGACAATAGATGAACCAGAACACGATTTGGAATAAAAGTATGCATGCGCTGTGTACCCCCAATAATATTGCGCTTTCTGATCTAGTGCGCGCGCTGAACTCGATCAATCGTAATCTGGCGGGAAACGCTGAAGCATTACAAAGTACTTCATTGCGCCATACGTTTTCTTTTTGAGAAGACCGTTTTAAATTTTGTGGGTTCAGTTTCTCGGAATTGCACATTCAGCATATATCATCATGATTATTGATTCCTGAGAACCAAATCATCATAACACACGATCACATTCCTTTATCCCATTGCTCTAATTTTGGTAAGTACGGGATAGTGATGTGCAAATTATTATTGAAAAAACCTTGTGCAAATAAAAGATACACCGTATCATTTTGTTTTTGATCATTAAAATACAATTTGGAAAATTACAGTAATGCTATCCAAATTTCAATCAGAAAAAACATATTATCGATGATTCAAAATTCGCATAGAAAGGTACATCTGTATCAATGATAAACAAATATCATACAACTTTGAATAAAACAACAATCGAAATAAGAAAGTGTCCGGCGGGCAACACCATCGTGCAAAGTTGTATTTATTGTTATTCTATAATTCTTCTTTAAACAATTCTAGATCAATTTGCTAACTAAACAGTAAACATGATAAATGTACTGTATTTGCCGTTTTAGCCAATAACAAAGTGGCACCATTGACATTGCTACATGTTTCTCGGTCGTCTGGTAATTGTCTTCAAGAGAACTTGCGATTCCCCGATTTATAGATCAATTCATTAAAAATAAGTCAAAATTAACATGAGAAATTCGACTCTAAATTCACCACTATCAGAATATTAATAATTAGTTAATTATGAGGGTTCAAATAACCAATTATTCAATGTGAGGATAAGTCTCGCTTCCGAGTTAACTTGAACTCGAAACTTAACAGAATGCTTGACCAAAGTTCACTTGCTTCATTCTGGGCCCATCAACGATTGTATTTTTCACACCTGATTGCTTAGTCTTCTCTTTGCTTTTCGAGCCTGATTCTGTCGAAGAATTGTCAACAGGTGGAGTTCTTTTGCGGCTAGATGGAGCATTCAGAGCAATTTCCCTCTCTGCTGTAGCTTCGTCTGGTACAGATTCAGCTGTTACCGGTTCCTCCAGGATATGCTCTTCAGAAGTGGCATCTTGGAGACCATCATGGTCTGAAGCGATAGGATCTGCAGCTGGCTGATCAGGAGACATTACCTTGGCATCAAGAGACATCCTCTCTTCAGGCATAGCCTCGTGAGACATCCTCTCTGCAGGCATAGCCTCAGGAGACATCCTCTTTTCAGGCATAGCCTCAGGAGACATCCTCTCTTCAAGCATAGCCTCAGGAGACATCCTCTCTTCAGGCATAGCCTCAGGAGACATCCTCTCTTCAGGCATAATCTCAGGAGACATCCTCTCTTCAGGCATAACCTCAGGCAGAAGCGAGTCAGACAGAATGGATTTAATTGTTTAGGAGCCTGTGACCTAGCTTGGTGATCAGTTCCGACCATTATAGTCTTATCCTCAACGATAGTCTTATCCTCGATAATAGTTCTACCACAAGCAACAGACTTGTTTTTGCGTTCATCAAAGAAGGATGTACCACATGCCACCGACGTTTCCAAACACTCCCCAATAATCGTCCTACCGCATGCCACATCTTTACTGACTGGCTCTGGCTCATCTTCCTCATTTTGTGCTGTCTCAAAGTCTATTTGAGAGTTATCTGATCCACAACCGACATCGTGAGCAACTGGATCTGTTTGAACTTCTTCTTCGACTGACATTCTGTCTTCGTCAGTTTGACAACTAAGGTCTAAACTGGCACCTTCTTTATTAAGAGTTTCAATATTTGATGTTTCTGAGGACACCTTCTCTTCTTTCTCCTCTTCTTCACCAGTTTGAGGAGGAGCGACATCTTCAGTCCCACTCTTCTCCATGTTGAAGCTGATCTCATCTTTGGAAAAATCAGGCTGTTCCAATTTCATAGGAGATTCGTATGAAGGAGCTCTTCTTCTTAACGTGCTTATATCAGGTTTCTTAGCAGATGAGGAGAAGTCAAGTTTACCACTAGAGGTGGGGGGAACCAGAGATCTAGCCTCTGCCATGCGGGGAGCACATGGTGTGTAGTTGAAGTTGTTCACTGATTTGGAAACTTCCTCACCTCCTGGGGTCAAATCAATTTCATCCAGCGTTACTCTCGAGGCAAAGGATAACTGAAAATCTGCTTCACTGAACAGAGACGGGTGGGACTGAGCGGTGACATTCAACCTGGATACCTGGGGAGTTCTCCAGGTGTATTTAGGGGGTTCAGTTTTAGGGCACGTCTGTCTGCTAAAAGCCATCCTGAACAGTGGAGTACAGGGAGCAGAAGACATACGACCTTGTTTGGATCGTCTCCGTGGTGTATCAGACGTCACAACATTGCTATACTTCATGATTAGCTTCTCTTGTTGCGGTGTCAGTGGTGTACCGGATCTAGGCAGTGGTGTACCGGATCTAGGCAGTGGTGTACCGGATCTAGGCAGTGGTGTACCGGATCTAAGAAGTGGTGTACCGGATCTAGGTAAAATATTGGAGGGACGTGTTGCATTTTTCATGAGTTCCGGAGTGAACACTAAACTGGATCTTCTGGTAGAATTCTTGATAAGGTTAACATCGACTGGGGAGGGTACTTTGTAAGTTTTACGGCGGTCAGCAGCCGCGTGTTTGCTCTTGCCAACCACAACGGTTTCGTTCTTTTTTGGAGTGTTAAAACTTATCTCTGAATCAGGGAAAGGAGCACTAGATCTCGAGACAGTCTCCACTTCTAATTCTTTGGTATAAGTGTTGTTAGTAACCATTGTCTCCACCCTCTTTTTGGTGAAAGTAGCGTTATTATTTGGCTTATTTTCCTGATCTTCCGAGAGTCTCCTCATTTTGGCGGGTTGAGTTACGTTGAAAGTCTGCCTTCTTATCTTCCCTTTTCTCGCATCGGCATTTTCCTTGTCAGTAGGTGGAGTGAGGTTTTCTTCAAGTTTTCTCTCTTTTTCAAGCTCTATCGCTTCTTCAAGCTTTCTCTCTTCTTCAAGCTTTCTCTCTTCTTCAATTTTCCTTTCTTCTTCAACTTTTCTTTCCTCTTCAACTTTTCTCTCTTCTTCAATTTTATTGTCCTCTTCAAGCTTTCTCTCGTCTTCAATTTTCCTTTCTTCTTCAAGTTTTCTTTCCTCTTCAATCTTTCTTTCTTTTTCAACCTTTTTGTCTTCTTCAAGCTTTCTTTCCCATTCAAGCTTTCTCTCTTCTTCAATTTTCCTTTCTTCTTCAAGTTTTCTTTCCTTCTCGAGCTTTCTTTCTTCATCAAGCCTCTTTCTTTCTTGAAACTTTCTTTCCTCCTCTTCTTCCAGTTTATGCCGCTCTTCAAGTATCTTCTTTTCAGCTTTGAAATCAGCAAGTTTTTTCTCCTCCTCCCCAATCTTTTGTCGAAGAAGGCGTGCGACTCGATCAGCTTTAATCTGGTCCGACTCCTCTTGTAATTTTTGTTGTCTGAACTTGGCTTGAGTTATGACGTGCTCTTGGGCGTACTCTGCGATAAGAGTAATGATTAAAGATTATTACTTGAACTACTGATAGTTCTATGGTTATTAGTTGTGGGTGTAAATCTAGAAGTAACACCCAGATAAGATAAATGGATTGGTTTTTAAAAGTTCACCTTTAGGTTGTTGTTAGATTGAAACGTTAATGCTAAAGATGTTCCTGTTTTCATATCGAATATATATTATATCAAAATGTAGACTAGCTAACCCAGTAAAACATTGCCTCCCTGAAGTCCATGTCTGTCAACTCCGTGCAGTAGTACACTGTCAAATGCCTCCACTACAGCACTGATCCAGTCAATAGCAACTGAGGGAAGGGTTATTAATTATTTTAAGAAATTTCTGTTAGAAAATAAAATAATACAGCTTTATGTTAGGAACTAAAATAATAACTGTTCAGTTATTATTGAACAAAAGTGTTTAATATCAAATTTACATCCCTCACTGTAGGGGGGTTATTAATTATTTTAAGAAATTTCTGTTAGAAAATAAAATAATACAGCTTTATGTTAGGAACTAAAATAATAACTGTTCAGTTATTATTGAACAAAAGTGTATTATATCAAATTTACATCCCTCACTGTAGGGGGGTTAGCAGGTCACATTTTGATCGGAGTTTTATAAACAACTTTATTACCGGACCGTATTTAATGATTCAACATTACATAGTCAGATGTATTAAAGAATAACTCACACTGGGTACTTTGCTTTTCAGAATTAGCTTGCTCAGCGAGGTTTTGTACACATTCCAAAGATTTGTAGTCTTCCTCTGAAACATTAATTCACAGCTTAAAAATACGGGAAATACAGATTAACGACGATCGTGTGAACTTCAAAAGTTTAGTACATTGTGAACTTTATTTAAACTGACGAGTAGAACTTGCAATTCAGCAAACATTATTGCTGTCGGTCTTCAGCAGTAAAATTCCCACTGAGATAACTCACCCAAACTTGAGATGAGCTGTAATATTTTGTTGAAATCCCCCTTGTTCGACTGAACCACAGGGAACTTGTTGACAGGAATTACTTTAGGAACATCACAAGATTTGCTGTCCTCTACTTTTATTGTCAGCAGCTTGTTGTTCAGGGCTTTTAGAGTTGTTTTCAGAACGGGCATAAAATCTGCTTCATCTGATAAAGATTTATCCTGTTAACAAGTTTTTGTGATGTAATATTCAGTTGGTTTTTACAGTATCAATCTGTGGGGTAATTAATTAGCTTGAAATGACTGTTGGCCAAGTTCACCGAGAAGATACTTTTCAATTTTACTTCAACTATATAATGGGCCACTCAGGCTGCCTTTGCTCCCTCCCCGTCACACAAGGTAACAGGTGAACAATCATCAATGCTTCAGAAGAAGCTAGTTTCATGCTCAGGAACAAAGGATAACCTCATCATCGTGACTGAATCGGTTGTCTTTTGTAGAAGACTAAGGTGGGACACATACTGTAGAAATGATCCTAACGAGTGTGGTCTTACTTGTCATTCTCAAAATTTGAGACCGTATAAAGTGTATAAAATAATATCTTGTGTTTGAAGTTGAGCATTGATTTCAAACGTCTTCATATCACAAGTGTTTAATTTATGTTCCTCGAAAGCGCACCGTTTCAGCCCAAGTAGTAAGTATACATATTGCATTTAAAATATTTTAATGCATAAGTTGGAATAATGATAATATTATGTAGATTGTAGAACCTACCTTTATCGTTAGTAGAGTCGATATCAGCAAGAACTTGCTCGAATAGTTCTACTATCGAGGATGTGTCAATAACCCTGTTTGGAAATAAAGTGATATTAACTTTTAACAGTTTTAAGGGATTATACTTTAAGACAAGAATGGAAGAGGGAAACTGGAAATTCTGCGGTAGCAAGAAATATTATTCAATAACTTTACTGAACAAGAGGGGACATCTTACCGTTGCATTTTAAACTCGTTTTGTACGAATTTGAACTTGGTCACGAGAAGAGACACTAAATTAGCGATACTATCAATACCAGCCAAATCAAAGTAATCTTTACCTGACCAACATGTTAATGGTTAGATTCTTATTGAATATTGATATTAAGCTATGAATTATAATATAAAGAAACCCGCTCTATCACAAATAAATCAAATAATGGAAACTTGTCAGCGAGACAAAGGCAAACTTTTAAGTTTTAAGAATGTAATTTAATCTTAATTTCTTAATAAGTACTAATAATAATAATTAACGTATTACTAATTAATCAACTAATTAATTAATTAATTACTAATAAATCGCATACCAGCGTTTGGTTTTATGAGATGCAGGTTGATGTCCCTGACAGTATTGCTTAGTAGTCCAGCTATGCCCGGAAATTGAACTTTAGTAATCTGTGAAATGTATACAAAGTTATATAATGTTATCTTTATAATTTACTAGAAATAGATTTTATAGAATTGCAAATGAAATGTGTGGTGTGGTTCGGGCAACATTTCGTCACGAATATTATCGTCCCAAAAAAGGTGCATTTACCTGAGAAACACGTTGAAGTTGTTTCTTGTTGACTACTAGAGCTGCTGTTAATATACGGCCAGGCTCCTCTAGTGACTCCCGGAACTTGGTATACTCGTCTGGAAGGGTAATGGTTACATGGGGTTTGGGGGGGGGGGGGGACGGGCCGGGGGGGGGGGACAACCTCATAAATACCTATACCTATTTGTTTTACAGAGAGCAGGATAAATTAGCACTTAGTAACTTTCTTAAGACACTTTCTAAGCTTCAAGGAAGCGAAACTACAGGATCATAAAATTTAATGAAATTAATTAAGGGCGTGTCCCATTGTAGTTTTGATTGAACTAAAGATATTTGAATGCTATTTAATTGAAGAAAGGATATTTGAATGCTGTTTAATTGAAGAAAGGAACAAATAAATCCCATAACCCTTGTGATACAATGATATTGTGCTTTTAAAATCATCATTATTTAAACCGTAAACAATCAACTAAGAACCACCCACCAAAAAACACCGAAACGTGCTCCTCGATAGCGTTTGAAGTTTCAGTTTCGTTTTTCAAATCCTCTCTTTCACTCTTCACCTTCAACCATACCGTGTAGCGTTCCCCCAGATCCTCAATCTTACCACTCAGCTGTTGGTCCGCTTCCCGCTCTAATTTCAGCATCTCCTCCACCTAGATTGGTTTCAGTGATCATAGATTAGAAAATTAGGTGATTAAACAGTTCAAAGAGTTAAACATAAGAGGAAAATATCGGTTTTACTAACTAAACGAATGGTTTGAAATTATCACCAGAAAGATAATTCCTACTTCACTAACCGTGTGGTTTGCTTTCTGTATTTTAGTTTTAAAAACAATTTCTTCCTTCTCAGTCTTCCTCTCCATCTGCTGAACTAGTTCTATCTCTCGTCTCAGCTCGTCAAGCTCACCTTCTATCCTGTCTTCCTGTTTCTGTAGTTACAAAAGTATGTTAACTTTAAAAGTTTCATTACGCTGGAACATGAATTTCGGATATTTCAGAATGAGAAAAATTCAACCTTTCAAGTTTGCATACATTTGTTGTAGATGTAAAAAATTAATGTTGGACCAAATGTTGAACAAAATGTTATAGAAACGTGATTGCTTTGAGTGTGTTGACCAAATAGCAATTGCAGTCACGACATCACGTGTCCAGATATCACGTGTCCAGATATCACGTGTCCAGATATCACGTGTCCAGATATCACGTGTCCAGATATCACGTGTTCAGATATCACGTGTCCAGATATCACGTGTCCAGATATGAGCAACATAGCCTCCCTACGTATATTACCTGGAGTGAGAGCGACTCAGAGAATCTTTCCTCGTTAGTTTTGGTGATCCTAGTTGTCTCCTTTAAATGGCTTCTGGTAGCTGTTATCTGCCCATCAAAGTTAATACAACACTCCTCCTAGAAAATAGATAATTAGTTAATGATAATTAGTAATGATAATTAATTAGTAATTCAATAAAGGGGCGACTGATTCGAGTCAATTTTGTGGAACCTTCGTGTTAAGTGAAAACATACAGTTTAGTTGGTATGAATCCTGTAGTGTTGTTGATAGAATGAAAAAATTAGATAACTAAGATATTAATAAAAAATCTAAAATTTAAAAAATAAAAGTTATACATTGAATTGACAATTACCGTTTTATGTTTGTTATTCATGGCCTGTTTATTAATCGCATTTTCTTCCATCAACTTCTCCACATCCAGCGTAGCTTTCTCAACATTTTCATCCAAGTTAGGGTCGAGTAACTGTACCTTTAACGTCCCAATCTTCGGTGATAAGTTCTCCGCGATCTAATCAAAGTTCTCAATTAAAATCCTTTCCTTAAAATATCTGTCAGTTTAGGCTTGAAGAAACTCTAATTTCTAAAACAGTTTGGGACACTAGTCACTACAGCCCCCCTTCTCCCCCCTCCTCCCCCCCCCCCCCCCCCCCGCCCCCCCCCCCCCCTCCTCCCCAAAATATCTACTCACAATCATTCTGCACTCCTGGATCTCTTCGTCCCTCAGATTAATGTTCTGTTCGATTTGCGCAACAGCACCACTCACTGTATGATACTCCTGCAAATGAAAACAGTGTTAAGATTCCTGTGAATTTTCAATTTATGGAAGGTTTTATTTCCACAGTCACCTTTCAGAGTGGAAACGACACCGTTGTTATCATGGCTATACTAATTGATTTGTTCACCAACACCGGAGACGATATGCTGCATAGTTTATTAAATATCTACAGGGCCCACAATATACTACGCCCCCCCCCCCCCCCCAAACCCCCCCCCCAACCCCCCCCCCCCACTTTTAAAGTCTAAAGATGTAAGTTTGAATGTTACTCACACTGCATTTGTCGCGATTTGTATCATTATTTTCTGTCTTCTTTGCGTTCCTTTCCTTGAGCGCTTCATTCAACTGAGTTTAAGGTAGTTATTATATTATTAATTATTAATTAATTATTTTTATTAAATATTATTATATTATTATTGTTAAGAGATTAGGCGTATTCCTTCTGCAATAAGAAAGATCTCATAAATATGTTGTGTTGATAAATACAAAAGACTTGTGCCCGCTGCAGCACTGTTCTTAATTTATTAATCGCTACCAATGGTTTTAAGTCAGGTTATTATGAAAACAGGTCCAATAATTATGGATTCAGGTCCACTATCCAGTAATAATTATCATAATTGAATTCGTTGCAAGTTCCCTACTTGATTGATTGTTCTTTCATTTCTATCTCTGATGTCCTTGTCGAAGTTATTACGCTGAGACAGTTGTTTCTTTCTTTCTTTCAGCTTCTTGATATTTTCAAACCCTGTATCTCTCTCCGCTCTGAAGATTATTGTTGTGGTTACCCTGACAAGCCCAAAAGAGAATGCAAAGAATTTGAAGGGCTAAAATGGAAGTTGATGAACCTTCCCAACCTAATAAATCCATTTATAACGAGGGAAAGAGAAATTAATGACTTAAAACAATTTTTTCAGCAACAAATAAGGACCCTGATTAGATCACAAATAACCTACCTGTTTGCTTGGTCGAATATTGCTGCATTTAGAAGAAACGAATAAATTTCGAGGGTTCTTGACTTTCTGGGTTTAATTAAATCAGAAAACGTGAATACGTAGTCTGTATGAAGTTCTTTTAGCTTCTTCGTCAGTAAGCCTCCTAAGCGTGTCAGACCAAAGTTGATTGAACTGAAATAGAAGAAATTTAATTTAATTCTGTAGATTAATGATTTTATTTAGGCGCTTCGTTAGTTCACTAATCGCTTGTTTCCTCAGAATATGCCACCATAATATGCCATCTATAACAATTCTATAATATCATGTATTCAATGTAATCAAAAATGTTTCTTATAATATGATTGATATTAAACTAAACATACTAGGTATACTAGTATTGGGAACCACTATTTAATCGAGAACGAAAAAATACCACCCAAACTAATTAGTTAATTTAATTAATTAATTAAAATTAAATTAATTATTTAAAATTAATTGATTAAAATTAAATTATTTAAATCTCTACCAACCTGTGTGGCTGCCAAATGCTAGCAACATCAAGTGAGGGTAAGTCTCCCAAGTGAGCTAACGACTGTGGCAAATGAGGGCACAGCCTTTGTAGGAGCTGAGGAAGCATAAAGTTTACAACTTATATTATAATAAAATTATGATTTTTAAAACACACTAATGAAGAACATAATATTATAATAACTGACATTATCAACGTTACTATTCCAAACGATTCTACTGATTACTATGCTGATGTTAAAATAATTATGATAATCATTAATTAAAAAGTTGTTCAAGAATTTAACAATAAACACATACGCAGTAATACAGGTTATGGAGTTGAGGTTTCATCTTTATCGGATTTCTGATAATTGACAGAATTTCAAACGCAGAAATTCCCAAAACTTCCTCTCCTATATTTCCACATTCGTCTTCATCGAAGATAGACATGGTGCCTGTTATAATGTTCTAGTAAATATAATATAATAAATAAGTTAATATAAACAAGTTAATAATATAACTAATCTATAATATATCTCATATTCTACATCCGGTACGGCTCTGCACACATGATATCTCTCTCTGCCATGAAACATGGCTAACCTTTCAAACTATGATTTAAAACACAAACCTAAACTAAAACTCAACTGGGCTCTCCTATGTCACCAAACTAGACCAATAAGCAATTTTAGCTTAGATAATTATATTTTTCTATATTTGTATAATAAGTATATTGACGTATAGTAGTAGTGGATGGTTGAGGGGGTTTCAAGCACAGGTCACTCTCAAATCCTAAAGATAAGCAGTGGCCTTCGGCACTTGAAGGTTGAAACCTCTTCAAACCTCCCCTGATTTATTTATTATCGATATTGTTTGATTGTGCCGTAAAAATAAATATTTGTTTTATTAAAATATTTGTTTTATTAACTGTAGATATTTAAATCCACAGTTCTTCTCCGCGATGGTATGCAGATATTAAAATGTATCCAACATTGAACTGCAAACAGCTGTAAACTTAAGGACAGAGGGGTGGAGGGTAAATTTACATTTTTCCAATTTTCACATATGTGATTGAGCTGCTGGAGAGACGAAAAAGTAGGGAAAAAACGCATAAATATCTGACCTTACGTTGCTGAGATACTGCGCGCCAAAATTTGAGGTTTACCTGTAATTTTACATGTAAAACTTTAACTTTAACTCTTTATATCTTTTTTCAGATAGAGCTCAACTTTTGGAAAAGACTGGCCACACCCAGGACCTAAAACTTGGCACAGGTGTTCCTTGTTTTCACACAATTCTATTGTACAGAATTTGATATTTGCCTCTGTTCTTGAAATATGAGGTTAACTTAGCCCCTAATTTTCTTTTTTAAGACAATTAATCTTATATTCACGCCCCCCCCCCCCCCCCCCCCCCCTCTGGCCTTAAATACTCCCAACTCACGCTCGGATATTGCAGCCATGTTTAAATTTGCTGAAAATGAGTAACTAATTAACTAATCAGTTAAGCTCGTGTTTTGCAAGAAATTGGATTTATCATAGCTCATATATCGCATTTGGTGGTGAGTACATATTGAGCTGAAATGAGATATTATTTATATACTTAGCAAATTAATCATCAGGGTCAGCACAGCATCTCAATAGTGGTGGTGTACAGGTTTCTAATTTCAATAAAACACAACTTTTTTAAAAGAACAAAATATAAATTTAAAAGTATATACCAAATCCTTCAAGAATGGTTAAACCTTAAATTAGAAAAGCATGTTTCTATATACCAGTTATAATGTTGATGGATTGACAATAAAGGGGAACTTGCTATTAATTGCATTATATCTGACATAGTGAGTGTTCGTCACTATGTGACATAGTGAGTGTTCTTCAGTCACGTAACATGCAATGAACGAAGTTACAGGAAATATTTTATATATAAGAGTTTATGATAGATCGCATTTGAATAATTCCTCTGACTGGTCAACCTTGAGAAATGGAAGGTAACTGAGGAAAAGCCGAAGGGGTTGGGATTAATAATGGTGATTAGCCATATATTCTACACTTGAGCTCGACCAGACTAGGAAAAGTTAATGAAACCTGTTACCTAGTCCTGTAAACTTAGGTACATAATTAAATCTCTATAATTTACAACTTTATCGTTCAACCAGACACACGTGTAGTCAGGTACTCCAACACACTATGAAGCATAGTAGTACAAGACACATAGAGGCAGTAGACACATTTTGATAATACAAGACACATAAACCATCACATAACACAGTGGTAACATAACATATTTGTAGAACGTAGAATCAGATCTCCGCCACATCTCAATATAGTAAACTACTCGCTTTCTATAAGCACCGAGAGGAGTATAGAATATACATTCCAATAACACAGCAAAGATTAACGTCATCCATGTTACCGAGATAAACCACCTCATCGTATTCTCATCGTGGATAAATAGTATCAACTGTGAGACTGGTATCATTACATAAAAAGCGAACTGAAAAATTACAAAGTCTCTTTTCTCATAGATCAGAAGATACAGCTCGTAGATAAGAAAAGCAAACGTTAGCAGTGAGTGAAGTAAAGTTTCTCCATTAAATAATAATAATAAGCTCGGGTTGAGCATAATATCAGTGAATGAATTAAAAACCCATTTTGCGTTAACTGCATTAAATCTAGCGAAGATGTCTTTAGCAAAATGCTGACAGTTGTCATTCACTACGTGATATCTATTCGTTGCTAGTATGTCTTTCAAATAGCTGACAATGTTACCAAGGGATGAATCAGAGTTGGCACTAATCACCCCGACGATAGGATCTGCACGCTGTTTTCCATCAAAGGAAAACAGGCACTCTATCCCAAAACAAACATGTATACCGTCTCTCAGTTTATCAAATGTCACGTGCTTTCCGCCGGTTGTCCTTAAAAAGACAAAAGCATGGTAGTCTAACACAGTATATTGCTTTAATGTCTGGCCAAGGGTTAGAACTGCTGAATGGAGCATCTAAAGGCACCCTATAAACACTAGTGCGATCAAGAGTTTCTGTTTCATATTCTGGATAATTAGACCAGAATACTTGCTCCACATTACTAACAGTGACTTTCTCAGTATTATTTTATTATAGTGGAGGTTGATATCATTAACTGCTTTGGCAGTATTGGCGGTGATAAATGTTTCAGGACGGATATAAGCAATACGTATATACCATTGAAAAAGCTCAAAAAACGTTAAAAAATACACTGTAATGTGGAGTAGAAGGTGCAGGATGATTACTGTCTGTTCAACACTATGTGATCTGAAATGTAAAATTATTAGCAATAACATTTTTATCTAACAACAATATTGTTGTTTTGAAAGCATGGATATCTTGTTAAATTAATGTTAGCTCTTCAAACGTAAAGATGTAGTTTGATAACACATTATTATATGCAGTGCAGTTATACACGCTTTTATTTCGTTGCTAATTTGTGCCTCTGTTATCAGCAGCGCTTATCATCTCAACAACTATCTCATACTCGCAGCTACAGCTTGTTTTACGGATACTATACACTGTGTATAACTGATCAACAATATGCCGACAGTAGCAGAACGTTTCAAATTTGACTTAGTAGAGACCGATGGACAAAAGTTCCTACTTGATACCGTGAAACAGTGTAAAGTCGATTGTGTTCAAGAACTAAATCATGAGAGCGTGAACAAAATTGGTAACAAGGGGGATTTAGCGGCAAAGTTTTTGCAAGCCATGCAGCTCATTGAGAGACAGCATAACATGATCATAAATCAGAGGGTACACGTTAGTCAGTATCAGTCTGGTATGATACAGCTGCAGGACCAAGTTATAAAACTACAGGAGCAACTATTATCTGCAAAAGAAGGACTTTCTAAGGCGATAGAGTTTAACGAACATCTCAAGACTGAGTTTTTTGAGGGTGTTCAGAAAGAAGTCAGTTCAGTTAAACAAAGTTTTAGCGATGTGGTGAAATCCGGTAGTATCGAGAACTCAGCTGCGATTTCTACAGAATCCATTAAATCAGTTGCCAAGCAAATTGCTTTGGAGGAGGAGTTGGGTAGGAACATCATGGTCTATGGGCTATGCGAGGAGGTCAATGAGGAGATCAATACAAAAGTCGCTGAAGTATTGGAATCATTGGGAGAGAAACCCCGAGTTGAGGCTTGTAGAATCGGCAAGAAATCACCGTCAGCTGCAAGACCGGTTAAAGTTTCCTTTTCCAGTTCTTCGATAGTGCAACAAATACTGAAGAAGTCGAGTAAACTGTGTGGAACAGAGAGATTTAAGAGGGTGTTCCTAGCTCCAGATCGTACAGCAGAAGAGAGAGCTCAGCGTAAAGAACTTGTCCTAGAGCTAAAAAGAAGAGCTGGTATTGAGAAGGACAAAAAACTCTTCATTCGTGAAGGGAAGATTTGTAGCCTTGAGAGGCAAAAATGAGTTTCTAAATATTTTTCGTGTTGTGAGCAAATCAAAAAGTTTAGCTCTATGAGTATTTGTCTTCTGTGTGCTTAGTTTTTGTCGAAGGATCTAACCATTTTATTTCACTTATACAAAACTGTATAGTTTTCAAGGGATTAATCTGGTTTTAGGCGAATCTTGTTCAGAGATCGCTGTTTCATTACTCTTAGTCAGCTGGTGCAGCCTTTATACATACTTTTATATGTATATTTACAATTTTAAATTGCTGTTCAATATCTATTTTTAGTAAACATTAACTGGGGTAGTAAAACCCAGTTCCCAATCAATCAATCAATCATCACAATTATTCCCTAGAATCTTAACATAAACCCACACTAGGATAACTAATTCTTACAATGTGTTACCTTGTAAGATGTATTGTGGCTTCTAGAGAACTTCTAACAGAGCTATGATATGATGATGCACAATTAATGCATGAGGAGAGCTTTCCTTATAGATAAAAACAATTCCCTAAAACTTCATTCGAAACATTCCAAAAATAAAAATCATTTACACTGTTTTTAGAAATCATTTCTTTCTTAAATCCTTCCAATCTAACTTTAAAGCTTAAAACTGTCGAGCAGTTCTTGACATCTGAAGGGAGTTTGTTCATACACGTATCAATCTACATAATCAAGCTGTTTAGAACACCTTGACATCAGGAAAATGTCAAACTAAGCTCACCTTGTCCACATCACTTGTCCACATCACTTGTCCACATCATCTTCACAGGTTATTATGCGCATGTAGACAATAAATTAAATCAAGTGATGCAATTGGCAGAGCACAATCCTCTTGCTGATATATTAAGCCTAGCCTTATCAGCATTGTTGCCCTTTTGTTGGAAGTTGGTTATGAGCATGTAGTGGAACTACAGATAAAAACAATTAGTACACTGTTTTACAACTATCTGCTTAAATCATTGTCAATAAAAAAGTTATCAATAAAACAAAGTCATTTTATGCATGTTTAATTAGATTCATTCAAACACATGTA